TTTTGAAAATTTATCTTATTGTAACAACGAACTTGAATGATTTAAACCAATCTGAAAGAAACAATTTCATAACTCAAAGATCTAGGAAATTATTTCTCAATCACACGATCTTAAGTTTAAATCGAATTTCAAACGTTCATATAAGGGAGCATTGTTGGCTTTTATATGATTTGTAGATATAATAGCTTGCTAGATTAAGGTTTCTTTCGTGTAGTGAATTCCATTTATTTTGTTTATTTAAACTTATTGCCAGGGAAACGAAGTTCTGGAGTGTAATAGATATTTCATGTCACCTAACATTTGACTTTCCATATTCGAAAGTATATTTTTGTGTTTAAGTGATAATGCCGATTCCTTTCCTCTTGATAATTTAAAACAAAGTTATAACAACAAGCTTTCCAGACTAAAAAGAATCCATTTGATTTTATTGGGTGAATTTTCTTTTGTTTACAGTAAATTAATTTACACTACATAAAAATGTAGCCTTCCAATAGTGTAGAAGCACAGTACTACTTAAATCATATTTCAGTAACAACGTTTTCGTGTGGAACATTTTTTTCATATGTGAATTTAATAGAGGAAACATTTTTATGACAGTTAGCACAGCATAACACGACGTTTACTGTCACTAAATATACTTAATATTGTCTCTTATAAGTGAACAGTATTGATCAAGTAAAATGCATTCTTTGTGCATTTTCCAGTGGCCTGAATTTACTTTTACGCCCAACGTAAACTATTACGTAGCTAACAGACGAATATGTTAATTATATTTTAAAATCGACCTACAAATAACAATGTGGTTAGAGTCATTATAAAGGGCATTTTGACACAAATTACTTCTACTACATGACTATACAAACATTTTCGATTAAAGTAACTAACTAATTTGTTGTTGTGACGTCACAAAAAATGAGAATAAATGTAAGAAAATGTTGTTTACGTTTCCCTGGAAATCTACCATTTCTTCAACTTGTAAACATAATTATATCGTGTGGCCAAATTTCAGGTTTTCATTTATGCATCATTTATTATTGAAAGGATTAGTATTCGTTTTGCCTCAATAACTTTTTTAAAACTCAACCTATTTTAAGTTTTGTAAACATTTCTCTCTTCTTGTATATCATTTCTAAATCTCACTAGTTATTGGTTCATCGAATTAGGAAACATCCATTCACATTGTATCGTATACTCGTTTGAATACACGATGAACTTTAACCTATAAGTGAAGGTAGATATCCACTCAAGCATTGATACTGTTAATATTAACTGGATATAGGAAGGCTATATTTGTTATCATAAACACTCAAAGTTTATTTTAGAAAGCTTTAAAATCATGTTACGATAACCAATGTTAATTCCCACAAAGTAACTAATGATTTGGAATGTTATTCAATTTATTTACTCAGAAAGAACACCGACGAGTGTATACAACTGGTATACAATTAACATGTAACTGATATCAATTAATAACTACAGCTTAAATGTTTGACTACATTCTAAGTTGATTCTCATACAACGCTATAAAAGCATTTATTTACAATTAAGTAGTATAAGCATTTAACTGTATATCAGTGATATCATGTTACTTAATATGTCCAAGAAAAGAATTCAAAATTACCCACGGCAGACTAATATCGACAGATATGTACATTATCGTTATTCAATTAATGCCTTAACTAATGATTAAATAATTATGAGCACAATTATTTTCTAACAATCAGTAATACATTATCAACTGAATAAAAGAAATAAACAAATCTAAAATTATCGAACGGTTATAGTATAAAATAAGTTTAGACAAGTATGTTGTTTTTATATTAATATTGAAAAATTGTACTGTTCTTGTTTTTGAACAGGTAGTAGTAGCAGTTCTTGTTGTTGTTGTTGTTGTATAAATGCTGTGAGACATTCAGACGATTGAGTAAAATGAATAAAATCTCTTTTTTATATTGAAGTCAATAAATCTTGTTGTTTAAAAATGATATTCTATGAAGACAGTGTTGTTTATGTTTTGCTAATTCTAAAATTTTGTGTACATAAAGTTTATAAATAAAACTTTTTGTAAGTTTCATATACTCGAAAAGTTTATTGTATTAACTAGACATGGAGAAAACAGGAGAAACTTGAGTACTCCTACGATTTGTCATTTACAGTACAAGTACTGAAACAGACCTCCAAGTTTTAATGTCTTATAGGTTGCATAACTCGAAACCTTCATAACAACGAGTCATGTATTTTGATGTACAAAGTATGTATTCGACTACTCCTAGAATACTGCACGTTTATTCTTAGTAGTTTGTGCATAAATGATAAATTAAGGTTGGAATCAGTACAGCAACAATTTACACTTCAGATTCTTGGGAATGATTGTACCTTGAATTATAATTCTAGATGTAATAAACTTGAGCTCGACCCTTTATGGAAGAGGAGACTCAAACTTAATTTAATCTTTTTCTCCGAAATGCGCAATAAACTATCCTTTACATCCAGTCACATAATTAAATATGCAGAAACTTCTAATTACAAAATCCGTAACTCCTTGTCATTAGTGAAGCAAATCCATTTTAAATCATCTCTCTATATGAATTACTTTAACTGTAAATTTTCCAAATTAGAAACTGGTGAAAATGGAAGATGCAAGTCCCACAGGTAAGCCAAAATAATAACATGAATGATAGTCCAACTTCCTACAATACAATGAAAAAATATAAACGATATATTCAACCATACTAATTATGAATGTGGAAATCACACAAGGACTCATCAAAACGAAATAGGAACAGACATTTAATCCTTCGGAAATCATCCTTATTTTAGAAATGTAACAAATCAAGTATGAATTCCTGGAAGCATAAAACTTGCATAGAACCAGGCACAACAATCCTGGTCTAGGAAGCTAGTAATTCTTAGAATACTCTATGGGGAAATGTAGACGAGTAGATTTGATTAACAGCTTCAGAATTCCTGAGAAGTACCAAGTAGGTTCTTGAATATTCATGATTTAATCGAGAACGTTCTTTGCCATGTTTCGACACTAGTGAATTTCAAGTAGTAAAGTGCACTCAACTCTACCATATATTAACTGTCTCATGTGTAAAAATCAGTTTTTTATTCATAAATTCGACCTATAAAAAATAAATTTACTCTGATTTGGCCCAAGAGACCTTTATTTGCAATTACTGAAGATATATAATAAATTAAAGTAATACGAATGAACACGAATTTTAACTGAACTTTCTACCATACAACGGAATTGGTATATTACAACATTGACAAACCCAAAGGTAGAGAAAATATAATAACCTAAAAAAGAATAACATTATGAAGTCAAAGATGTAACATATTATTTAAAGTATACTGATTACAATGAAAATGATAAATTATAATGCAGATGCAATTCTGTAGGTAGATGATTAAGTCATTCTACCCGTATGTCAAGTTGACTTATTCGAAATAATAAAGCCTATGTCAAAAAATATCTTATTGTTCTCTCAATAAGTGTGCATTCATATGTGATATTATAAGTGAACAAACAATAGCAAGTAGGTCTAAAATAGTTATTATTCGAACGACTAATGAAATAGAATACAATTATTAGACAATAACACCGATTCACTCGATAAATCAATATCTCAGCAATATCCATCCACGACACCACCACTAGGGATCGAACGCTCAACAACTAGATCACTGAGTCTTCGCCTCACAGTATACAAGTTTAGCTTCAGTCAATCCTCAATACTGTCCGATCGTCTCCCACTATCTTCAGTGGATATATTCTTCACAACACCTGAGACGATTTAGCTCCAATGTTCACAGTTTCTCACTGGCATTCTGGAAATTTCCTATCGAAGCTAGTCACTAGTGATCATATGATGATTAATAGTAACCATCTTTGAGAGGGAATCGTGTCAGGTGTTGTGAGGAACATATCCACTGAAGATAGTGGGAGACGATCGGACAGTAATGAGGATTGACTGAAGCTAAACTTGTACATCGTCAGGTGAAGACTCAGTAATCTAGATGTTGAGCGTTCAAGTGTGAGACCTAAGATCATGAGTCTAATCCCCGATAGTGAAGTCGTGGATGCGCACTGCTGGAGAGTCCCATGCTAGAACGAAACAGTTTACCAGTGCTTTCACTTTTAGAATAGTTGTCTAATTTGAAGTAGTTCATGTGCTCAATAAAATTCAACAACCTCCACGGTCAACATACTGAAAATCGATATGTGCTTAAGCATTTCCAACTATATTAAAACAAAAACTTTAATTTTGTTTCAAATAAAATCTAGATAAGAATTTACGTATTGGGTAACTATTGAACTTCCCCATAAAGAAATTAAGTTCAATATTCAGGTCAAAGGTGATTTCAAGGACAACAAACAGACATGAAAACACAACAATACTACCACCATGGGTACACATATATATAACTCAAAAAAGTGTATATTACAAAACGCACAGATAACTTGACAATGCAATGAACAATACATGTTCCACGGCATAAAATCAATAGAGTCGGTGGTAATTTATTTAACAAACAAAACCACACGTAAAGACAAACATACATAGCAAAAAATAATTCACTATGAACAAAGAGACAAATAAAAACTTATAAATATAAATCGAATGAGCATTTGTAGTTTATTTCGAAAATACATGGGAAATAAGTAGGAGAATGGGAAAAAAGTTAAAGATATCACTTAATAATCTTCTAATATATCCATTAATATTTACTTGAATGGAAAACAGAGTTAAATGAAGTAAATTTTCGAGACAGAAAAACAAACAAACTAAACAAAAACACAAAAATTTATCACATAATTAACAGGAATGAAACAAATCACCCAAGATGAAATCAATTAAACCAGAATATGAAAATTATGCCACATTGTTTTGAATGTTTATAAGAAAAGTGATCACAAGTATTGAATGAATTTTCGCTATAAAATAGATCCATTATTTAAAAATGCTCTTACATTATGTTGTCTTTAATAATTATAAAGTCCAATGTGTTCTATCAAAGCCCATTGATAAACCGGATATAATTCTTCTAGCTTCTTCTTTATCCGTTGATTCAAATACATAACATGTAAAATGACTAGCTGTAGTGCATGATTCCTCACCGGCTATATATGCAAAATAATTGGTCCCATCGGTTCTTCGACCGCATGAAGATATTTGTGGATAGGAATGACGTAGAAGAGGTTCTTCACTACGACAAACTTTATTATCTTTCCGCTGTAACTGCCATACAATCACTCCCAATTCACCTTAAATGAAAAAAAAATTTCCAACTAAGTTACTGTATCTTACCATTTAAAGTCGAGTAACGTTAAAAATGCCCCGACAGATTGCAGCCCGGATGCAATCAAGGATGAGTTTTACCACCAATTATCTGTTCTTCTCCAGAAAGTGCGTTCGACAGATATTGTAGTACTAGCCGGAGACTTGAATGCTCAGGTCGGGCGTTTAGGCACAGAAGAGAGTCGTTTAGGTGGCCGATGGGGACTCGTTGGTCGCAGGTCAGATAACGGGGACCGTCTACTGCAACTATGCACAGACCACAACCTGTTTCTGGCTAGCACTAACTTTCGGCACAGTCATCGCCGATGTGCCACCTGGCGTCCTCCCTCTGCATCCCAAGCCTGGACTCAGATTGATCACATCGCGATCAGCTACCGCTGGCGTGGTTGTGTAAAAGACTGCCGCTCCTTTTGGAGTACCTATCTGGACTCTGACCATGCCTTGGTCTGCGCCAATCTTGCCTTACTTTTCAGTGGACAACGAAGTGAACGCCATCAACGGATTGATGTTAGCAAGCTGGTTGCAACTTCTGTTGCAAGTAAGTATCGAACCGAGCTAGCCTCTAGGCTAGCTACCACTCCACCGAAAAGTATAGATGAGCATTGGTTGCAATTGCATGACGCCATGAAAATGGCGGGAACAGTCAGTTGTGGGTATGCGAAACGTCCCGCTTTTAAGCACTGGGTTTCTTCTGGTTCCTTACAACTCATTGAAGCCCGTCGGTCTACTCCGGGTGACCGTGAGTTTGACCATAAACGAAGGATGTTATGTAAGGAAATCGGGCAAAGCTTGCGTAAGGACCGAGAAGCCTGGTGGTCGAAGCGTGCTAATGAGCTGGAAGCAGCAGCTGCATCTGGTAATTACCGGAAGCTCTTCCAGCTCATCCGAGCCACTGGCAGCAAGAAGTCTGGTGTGAGTGAAACAATCTGCGAGGATGATGGGATGCCAATCACTAACATCCATCGACGTCTTGGACGGTGGGCAGAATTTTTCGAAGGGCAGTTCAACTGGCCTGCTGCTCCGGCAACATCAGTCAGACTGTCCTGCCCTCCATGGCCGGTGACGACTGATCCACCAAACGAGGAGGAAGTCCGCAAGGAACTCCAACTCTTGAAGCGATACAAATCACCTGGCCCAGATGACTTACCTCCGGCTCTTTTTAAAGATGGTGGTGACTTTTTGACTAAGGAATTGACGACGTTGTTCACAAAGGTTTGGGAACTAGAGAGTGTGCCAACGTCATGGAATGAGTCGATAGTTGTCCCTATCTTTAAAAAGGGTTCACGTCGTTCCTGTAACAACTATCGGGGGATAAGTCTACTTCCGATTGCGTCCAAGCTATTGGCTTCCGTCATACTTCGTAGGTTGTTCAAAACCCGAGAAAGATTGACTCGCGAGGAGCAGGCTGGTTTTCGTTCTGGTCGAGGATGTATTGATCATATCTTCACCCTCCGCCAAATGTTAGAACACCGCCATACTTATCAAAGGCCAACAATCGTAGTGTTTCTTGACATCAGGGCTGCCTTCGATTCGTTGGACAGAACTGTTCTCTGGGATTGTCTATTGAAGAAGGGTGTGCCTGAGAAGTTTATTAACATCCTAAAAGCCCTATATACAAACACCTCAGGCAGAGTGAGGGCATACAACCACCTTTCTCCATTGTTCCATTCGAGTAGTGGGGTTAGGCAGGGTTGCCCAATCTCACCATTCCTCTTCAACTTTGCCATCGATGATATTCTGGAAACAGCTCTGATGAATGTAAGTAATGGTGGTGTGGATTTGTTGCCTGGAGAAAGACTTCTCGACCTTGAGTATGCGGACGATATTGTCTTACTGTGCGATAATGCCCAAGGCATGCAATCCACATTTAATCAGTTGGCAATCAGTGTCCGTAGGTATGGTATGTGCTTTGCACCTTCGAAGTGCAAAGTACTCCTACAAGACTGGCAGGATTCCAATCCTGTACTCACCCTGGATGGTGAACAGATAGACGTAGTCGAGAAGTTTGTGTATCTGGGTAGCTGTATAAGTGCTGGTGGGGGTGTGAGTGATGAGATCAATGCACGAATAGTGAAAGCCAGAGCGGCTTATGCCAATCTGGGCCATCTATGGCGCCTTCGTGATGTTAGTCTGGCCGTAAAAGGTCGGATCTACAACGCGTCGGTGAGAGCAGTTTTGCTCTATGCTTGTGAAACCTGGCCTCTCCGAGTTGAGGACGTTAGACGACTCTCTGTGTTCGATCATCGCTGCCTCCGAAGGATTGCTGACATTCAGTGGCAACACCATGTCAGTAATGCAGAGGTTCGGCATCGTGTGTTCGGGCACAGAGATGATAACTGAATTGGTGTCACCATCTTGAAACACCGACTTCGGTGGCTTGGACATGTTCTCCGAATGTCGTCCCAGAGAATTCCACGTCGTGCATTATTTGCCGACTCTGGGACTGGTTGGAAGAAGCGGAGAGGTGGTCAGTGCATGACATGGTGTCGTGGCATGAAAGAAAGCTGCAAAGGACTGGCGTGTGTTGGTTCTTCACGACTCCCTGGTTGGGGTCTGAGAGATGGTGCTACACAGTGGCTAGAGACGTTATCAGATATGGCTCAGAATAGAAGCCAGTGGCGATCCTGCTGTAACCTTCTTTTACTTTCTTCATAAACAGTGGTTGTGTCTCCCTAACCTGAAAGATTTCTTCCGATTGTACCTTTGCGTTCCCTGATTACTAGCACATTACCTTACACCAATCTCTTCGTTATTGTTCTCTCTTTTTTTTGTTGCGCTTTTTAGCTTTTTTTTTCTTTGTATTCCTCTCGAATTTTCATTGTTTTGTGTGGCGCATATATATTGGCGCTCCCCTGTACCAATATTCATGTGTCCAAATAAATAAATAAATAAACGTTAAAAATAGCAGAAATAGAAGACAATGTGAGAGTGTTCAGTGGAAAAATGCAGAATCAACAACTTATAAAATCACAGACGTAAGCTTAATTAGATAATCGAGAGATCTTAACGTTATCAATATGCTGTTATAATTTTTTCTTATTACGACCCAGCTATTCCTATTGGTTAGTATTCTTGGACACTAATTCACTCGGCAAGTCCCCACATCAGAACACGTTTGAACAGGAACGAAATTATATTCCAAATAACAAGGATAGATGGAAGTAGGAAGCACAATAAAAAAACGTTAGTGTATTTACGGTTTTTACATAAGTAGATTCTAGAGTCTTCTCCAAATATCCACCGGCGCTGAATGGTTAAGAAATAGCTAATCAGCATGTCCTAACATAATCCTGCACGGAACGTGCTTTAATCAAATCTGTATTCCCCTAACGTATACAGAATCCGGAATTTCTTAATCTTTAGAGCGAAAGAATCTTATATCAACTGAGCTGCATATATAACAAAAGATCAAATGAACAAAACCAGGGTACATATTAATTATAAAAAAAACATGTTTATCAGTTCGATCATACTGTTTATGTGAACAAGTGTTTAGTAAAAACTGAAAAAACCGAAGGTAATATACTTCCAGAAACCATAACAAGAAAGGTATCTACCTTAACAATAGAACCATGTGACTAAATTACATAAGGAGAAGCTAATAAAGTATTTAAGGAAACTAAGTAAATCATTACTTTAAGGTTAACAGTAAAAAGTTTAGATGAACCACCAATCTGGCTAGTATGTATATAACAAAACAAAAAAAGAAATAACCATTGATTTACCCAATTCAATATGCACAGGACATTGCTCATCTGAATTTTTTAAATTACTTAGAACAAAAACAATAGATTGATTTATCAAATCAACCCCACCACTTGAACCCACTTCACATTGTCCAATATATCGAAAATGATACCAAGGTTCCTGATTGAGGAACTTCGAATTGTAAATAATATGAACTAGTGGGAAAAACCAAAAAGCAAAGTACACAAAGATTAATGTCTACTTGATTAAGTTATTAAAACTGACATGCTACAAAAACAAACAACGACTTCTATACGATTAGTTATTTCTTGAAACGTTCTAAAGCACAGGGGAACAACAATTGTGGTATTTGATTTTTTCAAGATGTGGGGGAGGGATTTTCTATATTTTCTCAGCAATGCACTTATGAGAACTTCTGGTGGGATAAAATAGTGGTTCCCCAGATTTACTAGTTTGATCTTGAACCAATGTTTCTCGTCCTTCGATACATGCTTCAATTCAGAAAACCAACTATAAAACTAGCATACCAAGTCGATACAACAAAATTCAGTATGCATGACAAAGCTTACCGTCCATGCTTTATAAGTAATGATTTTGTATTCGTAAATATGAGACATGTTAAAATCGACATATTTAGCAATTAAATTCAATAGGACAAAACGAGTGTGATAAACTGGGTAGATACATAATGTATTTAAAAAATTGATAAGCAAATAGTAGTAACAAGTCATTGATTTTTTTATCAACCATGATAACAAAAAAAACGACAAAAATACATATATTAGTGCAAGATCTTTTTGTTCCTCATCAAATTAAAAAAACTATCAAATTTGATCACTAATTTTCAAGCTAATTAGTAAATAATTACTATGACAGTTTCCCTCATTAAATTGTCTCTTGCCACTGATCATAAACAATTTGTTTGTGGATTGTTCGGTCGTAGGCACAAATGCATTTCTCGGAACTAAGTTCTGCCAAGAATATACTGTGCTTCATAAATGGTTCTTTGTTCTCACCAATACTACTTATTTGGCCAACGCTAAACAATCTTATTGGTCGCGCAATATCGTGGATTGGTGGAAATTAGATATTAACACGGTTAAATACCGGCTCAGTGGCATAGAGGTTAAGCGTTCGCGCGCGACACCAAGGGTCCTGGGAGACTGATTATGAATACAGTGATCTTGAGTGCTATTAGAGGCATGGGGGCGGTTATCACTTCCCGGTTGCCCACACCGTGGAAAGGTTCTTCTAGAGGTACCTGAAAAGGAAATTAGGTTAGGCGTGGTCTTAGTGACCCCAGAGCATAACCACAGTGCCCAAGAGACAACTGCTTGAGGTCGGTCGTACCCGACCTTTTTGTGAGTAATTTCCATGTTAGCTCCGTACTTGTTGAGACCTTACTGTTGGAGACGGATATCCGTGGGGTAAGGTGAGGTGCGCATTTCTAGGGTCGACCTTTTCTAGCCCCACCCGTCCTTGTGGGGAGGCAGCATCGCTGTTATGCTGGTTGTCTGACGGAAACACCTTACTTCCGTCACACCTCTGTACAGTCGGCAGTACGACTTTGCCCTCGGACATTGGATTTACTGCTTTTAGTCTTACCGCTCTTCAACCGACCTGTTTGGCATGGTAGGACCTTGAGGGATGACTGTTTCAGCCAGCACAGCTTGACTGGTTCATCATGATAGGCAAGCCCGATCACCACGTCAAGGTAGCGACAACGGTCGGGTCAAGGGTCTTGGGCCCATGTCCCACTGCTAAAGAGTTCCATACCAAAGCAAAACGGCCGTTCAGTGTTTCTAGGTTTTCAATGGTGGTCTAACATTGGTCAGCTCATGAACTTAATTAAAACTTAGCAACTTCCACAACCCTACACCGATAATATTATTGGTGTTTTACACAAACGATAATGTTTCTAATTAGCTGATAATTAGATGGCTGTGATACCCTCATAACTGTTTGTCAACTTGAAAAGCCTTAAGCAGAAGTAACAATAGAGAATAAAATTTGCTGAACTTTGGACTTGATATAAGTCCAAGGAATGAATACATTACGTAAGCTATTTATCATAATTATTTTAACTACGTTATTATTACCTATTGATACACAAATTATGGATATTAGTATTTTCCTTGCACTAACTCTTAAAATTTACCCTGATCCAGCAAATCGGAAAACTGTGTCCGAATCACAATAACCTTATTATATAATCAAAAAACAAGACAGTATGAACATAAAAGTGACATATATATAACATAATTAAAACTACTTCTAGTGACTTCAATCTCTTCAGTCAGTCAGCTACAACGTAGGACCAGGCACATATGTGCATCGGTCCAGGTTGCCATACCTCATTAGCACAACAAGATGAACACCGGATTCATAGGAGTGGTTAGGTCAAAGGTTGCAATAAGGATATAGTATAGGAAGGAAGAATTAGTTCGTAGAAAGAAAGATATGAAGTGATTTAATCTCTTAGTTTAAGGGAAGACAGGGAGTGTATACACCGACGCCATTGTGATCGATTCTGAGCCATGTCAATCCCTTAGCTTTCATAATTGATTTCCCTGAAGTTTTCTGGTTCTATTTAGTAAGATATGAAGAATAATATATGGCTTAAAGAACATTCACATAGCCATAACCATGTAGGGGTAACAACATAAAAATTAATCTTCACGACAATTATAACTAGTCACTAAACAACAAAAGGTCAAAGAGATATTAGTTGACCTAAAATGCAGTATTAACAAGTAAAATACCTGGTCCTGATCTTTCGAGGTCTGTAATCAAATTGACATAACCATATTGTTCTAAAAGAGATCTTAAACGGGGATATATACGCCCGTCAGGCATTAGAGCTTTCGTAACACCAACTGGAATGGGTTGGCCATCATAAAGAGATCGAAGATTATTTAAAAAGAGTCCAGAATTGTGTAATATACAACCATACATGGTAGATAGAATATCACCAACAGTTATCTGATGATCTTCTGCAACAACTCCAGTAGGATCTACTTCTGTAACTAAATAATGGCCATCTACCGTTTCGACACGAGCACCAAGCATTCTATCAGGGATGAAACACGATTGGTTATTTAATTATTAATAAATCTATCATGCAAAGAATCAGGGAGAAAATATAGAAATCTTACAATTCATAAAACTGTGAATATAATTGGGTAACTTAAGTACACTATAACAGCAGAAGGAAACAAGACATCTGAAAAGGAGTTAAATTCAACAATAGTGAACGCTTATGAGTCAGACACCGTAATGTAATTAAAATGTGTAGAGTTTTTGCTTCGTCTTGTAGGTGACCGGTCCTCACCCACTAACTCATAAATCTACACTCACTTCACTCATTAAGTTTTGGTAACCAGCCAGTGAAACCACTTCAATTAATCGGCTACTAGTCAGCTATTGAGTTATATTTAAATACACGGGCTTTATATTTTAGCAATTAAAAGACACCAGAAATATAAGTTGAGTAACGACGTAATTCTTTTCAATTAGGTCCTCGTTGAAGTCCTACACTAATATATATGCTTTACAATTAAATATAAAATCAATATCAAATAAATGGTGGTGAATCAATTTAACGATAGAGTTAGTAATCAGTTAAAAAAACTTTCATAAAATCAAAACTAAGGTGAAACTTCATAATTGGTTAATTACTAACACTAGTTACATAAGACGACGAATAAAAATTAAAGTTGAATACAAATATAAACGTTTCATGTTACTCATGAGATCGAAAATAAGTAATTAATAGAATGAGTGGAATGAAAATTAGATAATCAGATCATTCGACAGAGTAAGGTAATATTAAAATTAGAAATTAAAATGTAACAAAACTGGAAAAGTCGAGTAATTCGAAAATATTTTTTAGAGATGCATGATTGTAACTTGGTAATAATTTCACTTTAGTTTTTATTTTGACATTATCAATTGAAAAGAATTACTTCTTTACCCAGTTCATATTTTTAATAAGACCACAGGATAGACAGACATCATCATCCATTGCGAAACATTTGATTGAGACGGGTCATAAGGTTGATATCAAATCAGCATTTGTTGTGCTGTACAAAAGCCTTCAAGGACGTATACTAAGGTTTATTGAAGCCTTGGCTATACGAAAATTGAAACCCCCTTTATGTGTTCAAAAACAATTTGTACTTACACTTAACCTAGTACTGATTTACTGTCCAGAGTGGTAATCACGTTTGTTTTTGTGTACTTTAATATTTTTTCCTTTTCACAGATTGAACTCATGAGTCAGTTGAAGCTAGACCACCATTGAAAACCTGGAAGCACTGGACGGCCGTTTCGTCCTAGTATGGGACTCCTCAGCAGTGCGCATCCACGACCCCGCACCACCCGGGGCTCGAACCCAGGACCTACTGGCTTCGCGCGCGAGCACTTAACCATTAGACCACTGAGCCGGCATCCAACGGTGTTAATGTCTAACTTCAACCAATCCACGAAGTTGCGCTACCGTACACCAATGTCTTCAGTGAGTTCCTATCTCACAACAGACCTGGTTGAACTCCACTGGTAACTTCTCACTAGAACTTCAGAAGTGTCTCCTGAAGTCAGTCCTTTGTTATGACTTACCCTTAACCTGTCTAGTTGACCTTTTAATTTTTCATATATAAATGTTCTTAACAAGTATATGTGTGATCAGATTGTTCGAAATGTATTGCGCAAATATATCACATAATTCTGATAAACTACGTCTTCTCATTGCATTATCGAAATTCATATTTTTAATGTTTCAATTGGAAGACACTAAAATAAATGTATATCAAAAAGTAAGAATATGAAATTATGGAGAGATAAAGAAGAGGAAGTAAGTACTATCGAAAAAAAGAATTAGCAGAACTAAGTGTACAAAGTAGTATATAATAGAATAAACAGTTTAGTCAGAAAAATACAATCAGAAATTCAATTCATTCGAGAAATTTTCTCACATTTTCATGAAGAAAGTAGTAGATCACACCAGGACCGCTACTGGCTACTATTCTCAGCTATTTCTGGTAACATCCCAAGCTATTGTGTTGCACTGTTTCTAGAACCCCAACTGGGAGTTGTAAATGGCCAACAGATACCAGTCTTGCACATCATTTTCCATACCACGACACTAAGTCATAGAAGATGTCGAAACATGCTGTTTTCTAAACCCAACCAAACAAGCCAGTCAGTTTCCTGACCAGGTCACCATCATTCTTAAAAAGAATTGAGGGTTTATCATCAAACATTTGATCCATATAATTGACTTTTACTGAGGAACTAATCGGTCAGTATTGCCTATATCATGGCATCCGGGCCGTTGCTGCTACCTTGACGTGGTGATCGGGCTTGCCTATCATGATGAACCAGTCAAGCTGTGCTGGCTGAAACAGTCATCCCTCAAGGTCCTACCATGCCAAACAGGTCGGTTGAAGAGCGGTAAGACTAAAAGCAGTAAATCCAATGTCCGAGGGCAAAGTCGTACGGCCGGCTGTACAGAGGTGTGACGGAAGTAAGGTGTTTCCGTCAGACAACCAGCATAACAGCGATGCTGCCTCCCCACAAGGACGGGTGGGGCTAGAAAAGGTCGACCCTAGAAATGCGCACCTCACCTTACCCCACGGATATCCGTCTCCAACAGTAAGGTCTCAACAAGTACGGAGCTAACATGGAAATTACTCACAAAAAGGTCGGGTACGACCGACCTCAAGCAGTTGTCTCTTGGGCACTGTGGTTATGCTCTGGGGTCACTAAGACCACGCCTAACCTAATTTCCTTTTCAGGTACCTCTAGAAGAACCTTTCCACGGTGTGGGCAACCGGGAAGTGATAACCGCCCCCATGCCTCTAATAGCACTCAAGATCACTGTATTCATAATCAATATTCCTCTTGAATTCCTATTATTCCTCCTACCTCGACTTTCAACTCTAAACCTCCTCCTTTAACTTCCCCCTCAAGTGTCACCATGGCCAACGATTCTAATGGGTAAAAAGCTGTCCCAGGTCTACTGAAACCTCGCTCCAAACTACACATTGTAGCCTTCAACGTACGTACCCCATGTCGAATCGACCAGCAGTCCTCCTTGGCTAAAACACTAGAATCTTGTACCATTGATGTAAGCTGTCTCTCCGAAGCACGCATACAGGACCTCAATGTGCTCATTCACTTGACCTCACCTCGCCAAAACGAAGAGCCAACAAGATACACCCTCCGTGTTTCTGGCGACCTGATGGCTAATTCTCGTGGGCTGGCAGGTGTAGGCATAGCGCTAAGTACGAGGGCTAAACAAGCACTATTAGAATGGATCCCCGTTAACAGTCGCCTATGTGTTGTTCGGCTAAACGGCTCCGTAAGAACTCGAAAGGATAGGAACGCACGTCGTTGCCTTTTTGTTGTTTCTGAACTTCTTCAGAAAGCTAAACGTTCAGACATAGTATTCGTAGCAGGTGACTTTAATGCCCAGATAGGTAGTTTAAACTAAACAGAAAGGCATTTAGGTGGGTATTTTAGTTATCCGGCACAGCGAACAAATAATGATAATCGTCTGCTGCAACTGTGCTCAGACAATTGTTTATTTTTAGCAAACGCTAAATTTAAACATAAGGAGAGACATCGCCTAACATGGCAACCCCCTGCGCTAAACCAACGATGGACTCAAATAGACCATATTGCTATCAGTCATCGTTGGAGAGGGTCGATAGAAGATTGTCGCTCATTCTGGGATACCTGCTTGGTCTCCGGCCATGCTCTAATACGAGCATGCGTTCGCATACGCCTCACAGGACGTAGGAGAATCACATTAAGACCTATTAGAGCCGAACTCAGTGACGAGGAAGCCACAAGTAGATTCCAGGAACAACTGAGGTCACACTTAGGCAGTTCTGAAAACGAGGCTGACCCAGATGTTGCTTGGAAAGATATACGAACAGCTGTGGAAACAGCAACGACATCTATTAGTGATTTGAACCAAAGGGTCACGAAAAATCAGTGGATTACTGCTAACTCTATTGCACTGATAAATTCTTGTAAACTCATCCCATCAGTCTCTGAACACGATAAAGAGCAAAAACAAATCAGATCTAGGCTAACCAAAAGTCCAAGGAACGATTGTGATCAGTGGTGGGCAACGAAAGGAAGAGATTGAAAAAGGAGCGGCTGTAGGTAACACTAGAAAGCTTTACAGGCTACTAAAAGAAACTGGGATTAAGAAGTCAAGTGTAAATGAAACACGAGAAAATCAGGCTGGCTTCAGACCTGGTTGTGGCTGCATCAACCACATATTCACCATTCGTCAGGTTCTAGAACACAGACATACTTATCAGCATCTGACAATGGTGGTCTTTCTCGACTTAAAAGCAACATTTGACTCCGTAGACCGAGAAGTTCTGTGGCAGTGTCTGTCGTTGGAAGGCGTACCTCAGAAGCATACAAATCATGTCAAGGCTCTTTACTTGAACACTACTAATTGAATCAGAGCATATGGCGAACTGTCATCTGCTTTTGTGACCTCAAGTGGTGTCCGTCAAGGCTGTCCACTATCTCCATTTTTGTTCAACTTCATCATAGACATATTAATGGAAACAACGTTCTATTCGACTGAATTTTCGGGCATCAATCTCCTACCAGGAGGTCCACTTATCGACTTAGAATACACAGATGATATAGTCCTGTTTAGTAAAGACGCTGATAAAATGCAGAGTCTTTTGGTAGCTCTGAGCAACAATGCCAGAATGTTTGGGATGCGCTTCTCCTCCTCTAAACGCAAGTAGTTGGTTCAGGACTTGTCTGCGTCAACACCTGAACTAAGGATAGGGAGTGAAACAGAGGAACACGTTGACAACTTCACTTATCTTGAAGTCTGATCAGCCCTAATGGGTTGGTGTCTGACTAAATCTCAGCACGGAGTCGAAAAGCTCGTTTGGCTTTTGCCAAATTATGTTACCTATGGCGAAGGCAAGATATTCGTATATGAATTAAGGGACGAGTATACTGCCCAGCAGTTCGTTCTACTTTACGGCTGCGAAACGTGGCCATTAAGAGTAGAGGATACTCGTAGGCTACTGGTATTTGATTACAGGTGTCTTAGAAATATTGCTCGCATCTGTTGAGACCACCGGGCATGTAATAGTGAGGTTACACGCAGGGCATTACGGAATGATAGTAAATCAGTTGGTGAGGTTGTAAATTTTCATCGACTGAGATGGTTGGACCATGTGTTACGTACGCCTGAACACCGATTACCATGACGCGCAATGATGACTAGTGTTGGGATGGTTGGAAGGAAGTTACAGGTGGCCATACCAAAACGTGGCATCAGTCACTGAAGTCACGAACTTCTGGTGTGAGCCATGTTGGTAGATGCAGACTACTTGGTTGGGGCCCGTGTAACTATCGTAACCAATTATTAGAGGCTCTGAGTGATATGGCTAAGAATCGATCACAATGGTGTAGGTGTATACACCCCTTGTCTCTCCTTAAACCGTGGGATTAAAATTGCTTTGTGCCTTTCTTTCTACGAACTAATTCTTGCTTCCTGTATTATATCCTTATACACAATATTTCTTCTACACATTACTACTATTGAAGTAACTACTTCTATGAACTCGGTGTTCATCTTGTTGTGCTATTAAGATATGGCAACTTGGACCGGTGCATATACGTTCCTGGTCCTACGTTGTAGCTGACAGATATCATGGCGTTTAGAGTGACATTGACGACAGCCCAGCCGGACAAAGATCCCATACGGTCCCCGGATAAGTGTACTTGAGACAAGCTTTTCGATTCAATAAATGAAGAACGAAGCTGTAGTAGTTTGCTGTAGTCTTGAATACGGGTCTCGGATATACAGCAAACATCGATTTCATGACTTTCCAAAGACTGCCAAACCTATCTGTCATGAGATCCGCATCAGTATGTGAACGTTGAAGAAGACCAGTTTTAGTGGCATACGCAGTTTTGTAAAAGCTGTACCAACAATAGTATCTCATTAAATTACTTGAGACTTTTATTAGCCAGTGGCTTGGAGTCGTCTAAACATGACAGGGTTTCCATCACATACGGGTCACTATGTGAGTTGAGAAATAAAATAATACACAAAATGGGACCAAAGAGGAATAAATAAGTGATTCGATGTAAGACAAAGCTGTATGTAACCAAACAATTGTAAACACTGTTGGCGAAAATACAAACTATAGCGAAAGTATTCTCTCCAGTCGTAGTCATCATAAAGCATGTATGTAGAAATATTAAAAATAAAAATATTAAAGAATACAGACCAAAAAAGTTCACAAACGAAGTATCCAGCTTTTAGTTCATCAGATGATAGCCAGGAATAATTTTAAAAAATACAGTTATCCTTGTCCATTAATTTTCTCAGTGATTCTTTTGGGATTGTAGAAACTATAAAACTAGTAACAAGGACTATTTCTAGAGGATAGAATATCCGAATAATACGAGTTATTAAATGATACAGAGTTTAAACTCAAAGTGAGAGATCATAAACCACGTGAAAATAAGCCAAAAAAAGAGATATAAGGTAATATTATGACCTATTTCGAGACAAATTCCCGGAGTTTAAGTGGGAATTTGTGACATGGAAATTATCCATGTAGGGAGTTGCAAAGTTGTTACCAGCTCCACTGGATGATGAGTTGGATGTGAACTGTTCGAAGTTGGAAGTGCAAATCAATAGAGATCAACGCAATGATTATAATGGCTAAACACTGGCCGTGAGATCTGAAGGTCCTAAGTTTGATCTCTCGTGGAGTCCTGAGCGCGCTTTACTAAATCCTATGCTAGGATGAGAAAGCTACCCGGTGCTCTCTGGTTTTTAATGGTACTGCAACCCCAATTAATCTATGGTGAATCCCACCTACAAATAATATGCTGCTTTACAGCCAAAAACAGTTTTTTTAGCATGTTGATACGAGTATTTCAGATAATTATTACACCATATAATCCAATGAAATTCGAAACCGTACACAATACATATCACGATAATAATTAAAAGAGCATTCGGAAATATCATCACAGTTTATAATTTGGCTATATATGAATTTACTTGGTACTAAAATTCAATGTCTTAATGAATTACTAAATAACTTTGAGAACCTATCAAGCAAGGTTAGGATCTTGAAGCTGTTGGAAAGGTATTATCATTAATATAAAAAATATAATGAGATTTATCTGAACGACATTTTAATGAACTACACCTTAAGTAATAGCAAGACTATTTTGCATTATATTACTCAGTTTAATTTCCCTGCTACTACAGTTATTGCACTAACTTTACTTGTCGAGTAGATACGAGTGATGTACTTCAGATATAAAAATACAAATGTTTGAGTCAATGTAACTCATCTTTAATTATCAGTTACTGTGTTAAAATACTGACATCTTATCAAGCTAGCTTTTTTTTAATAGTCTTGATGTCATATTGGATAAAACGATCTGCGTAAAATGATTGTAACCAAGTTGTAATTTTGGATTCCACATCTGTTACAAGTTTACCTAAGTCCTTATTTTACTTAAAGAGGAAGTGGTGGAGTTGGCCATTCTTAAGTTTGATACTAAAAAAAGAAGTATACCAAAATGTAAAATATTTTCCCTCCATTATCAAAGAATGAAGGTTTTCAATGAATAACATACATGGTGATCTATATTCATTTCAGTAAAGCATAAGCTACAATATATATGGTACAACTAATGGGGCCCCCAAGTGCCCTGGTACGGCCGAGAGTGGAGTGTCCGCTCTCTCTCTAGAAATGCTCTCACATGGCCACGCGTATATAGCCTATGCCAGGGAAGTCCTACTCACTGCCTTCTCGTGGCGGGGCTGTTGTTTACGAAAATGAGAGGACGAAAAGCGAATGTCCGGCGCTTTAACCGGATTCCAAACCAATGGTGCACATGGGCTCCAGTATCCTGAAGGAACAAATGGCGTATGGACCAATTGTTGGTCACCGGCCAACATGGGACTGCATCTCCTCACGATGCTCCACTGCCTTGTGGATCAGACCTTCAGGTCGAAGGCTCGGGATGTGGCCCTCTAAGAAAACCACCTGCTTCGGTCTAGGCACCCGGGCAGTATCACAGCCCACACACAAACCAAATGAGATTTGTTTGACGCATATGTATTTGGTGCCTCCTTGTACCAATATCTAAGTGTTAAAATAAATAAATAAATAAATACAACTAATGCAGTTTTTGATAGATTTATATAGTCATCAAGTGTGTAAATATTCGTTTGATACTAAAGCTTGGACCATAAAGCTGAGAAATATAGTGAATTACATAAAAATCTAAAATTAAATACGAGACATTTGTAGTATGGTTTATAGAGTAATGTATCATACTTGCATGGAACGAATGTAAACGTCTTAAATGTTGGAAGACACCATGTTTCATCAAGGAATTCCGTATTATCCACATTCAAATTAAAAGGAATCCGACAAACCTCACTGACAAGAGAACAAAATATTTGAATAAGAATATCGTTCCCCATAACTGACTCGGACTCCTCATAGAATGCAGCTGATAAATGCATGTTATTTAGCAGTAACTTAAATGGGAAATCCAAAGTTCCGGAACTCAATAACATACGAATAAGGAGACGCCCACGTCCTTGAGCAGTGGTGACACTACGGCATTTGTGAACCTATAAAATCAATTTGACAAAAATCAGCGTATGCTGAACAAAAGTGTCCAATGAAATATGACAAAAAGTTGCGTAATTCAAAAATAATAAGACCGTACTAATTTATTCATCAGTAGGAAACAAACGACAAATTATGGGGTTTTACAGTACAGCTCTTATTTATACCACCTATGAACACGTCTAGTTTTTAAGCACATTAAATCTACCTGTTCCTAAAATTCTGTCGTTCCCCACTTCTGGTATGATGATTTATCTGACTGATAAAACTAATTAACACAATAAAAGTAAACTGTGGTGGCTTGCTTAGCTGTTTGAAACGTTTATGCCTAGCAGTAAGTCAAACTTACCTTGGATCACTATACCCTTCTTGTACAAAGCTTAAATTTTAAAGTAACATGGTAGCAGGACTTCCAGTACTTAATCACTAACCATAAGTTTGTTTAACAATATAAGACTAAGATTTGATCGTCAATCTTGAACACCATTATTAGCATGCTAGTTCAAACCGCTGTAAATAGCTAACATTTAATCAAATAAGTTGGATATAAACAGGCACGTAGCTATGACCTCACACAAAACAAAAATAGCAAGGCTAAGAAAACAATCTTATCCGAATATCTATGATTTGTGTCAGCATATCAAGTGTATTAGATGTCGGCAGACCGATCACAATATTCAAAATATTCAACCAAGAAAAAAATCGACAGAATATTTGCATCAAATATAAATTAAGTTGTTACAATAAAGTAAAATTAAAGGACAAAATGAACTTAACTAGTGAAATCAGTGGACAAGGATAAACAGAATAGGAAATTGATCTATATCAACGGGAAATAAGTTTATTTGTACTTTCTACATGTGAACAAGCCAAAGACTCAGTTAATTAGGTACCGGTAATCTGAATTTGTTAGCTATTTCGGTTACCAGATCATAATTACATAGTATGACGGAATGATCTAGCATAAAATGCACTAATATGCATATGGACATTTTTATAAAATACTTCCGTCATAAAAGCAGACTATAAAATATCGTGACTGCTAGGATGATATGTTTAGACTATATAATATGATTGATAAACAAAGGTGATGCGGCTAAAGTTTCCGAAGTATGACGTAGAGTAGAGAGAATAGTTCCTCAAAGCATGTCACAAATATCTTAGACTTACCTGTTCCCAAACAAATATGAACCCCATAAATTCAGTTGGTGGATTGGGTTTATTTCCCATTATTCAGTTGTAGAGTGAAATGAACTATACACAGAGCCACCTAACAGACTAGGATGACAAAACAAGACTGAAGAATGTTTTCCCCTGATGTTTAGAATAAGTATAAAAATAAGCTTCTTTCGTGCATAAGACCCTTGAAACTGGGGAAAAATGAGGCGACTCTGGTGAATGTATGCTCTTTACCAAACCACTCTGAAGGATTTTGGTAGTTTTCTCCTCGATATAGTTTTCCTTAAAAACGTAAAAATATACATGTTTAGTGCTGTTTAAACAGCATATTCAGATGAGCAATTGAATAATTATTGTCTGATTCCTGTCAGTTTTAGATGTGATACATGAAATCGAAAGTAAGGTTGTCTACTTGTATGGAGATATAGAAAGAAAGTGCCATATCAAATATATGTTAAGAGCATTCTGTGCAAAAACTAACGCATGTAATACAGTTATTCAATCGCTTATGAAACCACTTAGGATCGTCAACAACCTGGCTGCTATTACTGCTTATCTATATATTACATCCGAATTTTTTGAAGTGAGTATTACGCATATGTGTAAACACCACTGTATACGAACATATATGTGCCCATATTAACGATTGTAACCGTTATAACGGTATGTTATAACATACATTAGCAATCAATGAATTAACCCATCAGTTAGCAATTGCTAACTGAATACCACTTACGTGATTGATTGCCTGCAAGTAACTTGGGTGGACAAATATTTCCCATTTTTCGTAAATGCGTGGAATGCTTTTCATCCAGTTCCAATAATCTTTTCGCTTTATTAGGCGATGACTACACTTTAGTCCCATGCGTAGGACAGATTCTATAGCCTCACATAAGCTTTGTAAAAAATGCGTTTCGTCCGTGACACTCTTGTCATTAGTATTATGAAAGCTTAGGATGCATGACTTAACTTGTTCAAAGAAAATAGGCTTTTGTACCATAGTGTTATATTTCCGCCTAATCAATCTGCGCGATCAATCTACAATTTTTGTAGAGTTGATTTAGCTAATATCATCTCGACTGAGATTCAAATGATTCAGATGGCTCAAATGGTTGTGGACGGAATAGAAGAAGCTTTCGCTTAACAGGCTTCCGTTGCTAGTAGTAGGGGATCACCAAATCCTCCAGGCAGGAACCTAGGTATGTTAACAATAAAAGAGGAAAAGAAATTGGTAAATCATAGTGTGATGCTGTCCTTGGTTCTTAAGGATAGGTCAAGTTGCCTCTTGAAGGACTCCTGAGAAGTCACTTGGACTAGCTCGGCTGGCAGCGAGTTCCAGCATTTGACAACTCTTAAGGAGTAGAAGTTATGTCTACACTCCGTCTTCTTATGTTGTGTTTCCAGTTTCTGGGTGTTACCCCTTAGGTTATTATTCGAACTAAGCTTAAGTAGGTGTTTAAGAGGATGTCCAGAAGTGTTAAGAATACTATAAGCCATTAATAAATCACCTCTAAGACGCCTATATTCTAGTGGGTAAAGGTCTAGTGAACGGAGGCGTTCTTCGTAAGGCTTAGATTTGAGTCCTCGAACTGATTTCGTGGCTCGCCGTTGGATACGCTCCAAAGTGACCTTGTCCTTTTGGAGTGAGGGGGGAGTACTATGTTTCCGTACTCTAAATGGGGACGGATGAAACTATTGAAGATTATATGGAAAGTTCTTCCGTCAAACTGGCCAAAAATGCGCCTCAACGTTACCAGTGCAAGGTTTGCTAGGAAGGCATTTTTCTCACAGTTAGCGTAAGACTTTAAATCATGGGGCACCAGGACTCCTAAATTTTTTTCGACCTGGGATACTACTAGAGAGGAGTTTCCTAAGTTGTAACTGTAGTTTGTGACATGTCGCAGATGGACTACTTTACACTTTGAAGTGTTAAAGGTAAGTCCGTTATCGTCTGCCCAACTTTGAAGTCGCGTCAGATCCTCCTGAAGTGCCTGTGTATCGTCTTGGTTGCGTATCTCTCTCCAAAGTTTCACGTCGTCGGCAAAAAGTAATAAGTCTGACGTCACCTGTTGAGGAAGATCATTTACGTAGATCAAGAGGAGAAAAGGTCCTAGTACTGAGCCCTGGGGGACCCCACTAGGACATTCCATAGCCTGAGATAAAGTGAAATTAATCCTAACCTTAAAGTGTCGATTTTTCAGGTATGAAGTAAGCCAATCGATTAGAGGTGGTTTGATACCCAGTTGTTTGAGCTTGTTGATAAGACACAAGTGGTTAATATTATCAAAAGCTTTTGAGAAATCAAGGTAAATGATATCAACCTTTCCCTTGCGATCGAGGATGCTTGTCCATCTGTCCACCGCAGTCAGCAGGTTGGTTATACACGAGTAACCCTTCCTGAAACCCTGCTGTTCGGGTGAGAAGAAATTTAAGGACAGTAGATAGTCATTTAAACCGTCGCATATCAGGGACTCCATGAGTTTTGAAGGTAATGACAGAAGAGCCACCGGCCGATAATTTGAAGGTTCATTGCGTCGACCACCTTTGAAAATTGGTGTGATGTGAGCCAACTTCCAATTTTCCGGTAATTTGCCTCTTCTAAGCGAGTGTGAAAACATCACGCTAAGCGGCGTTGCCAGGATTGAGGCTGCCTCCCTCAGTATGGCAGGATGAACCATATCCGGGCCAGGAGAAGTGTCAAGTCTTAAGTGCTGCAATTTCCGGAACACCAAGTCAGCGCTTAGGTTCACTTCAGAAAGTCCTGTGGAATTGCAGATGAAACTGTCGTCAATAAAGTTGATGTCAGCCGGTTGAAATGTTTGAGAGTAATGTGCCGCCAGAAGGTTAGCGGCGTCGCCATCGTTGTTGGTCGGGCCGTTACGACCTAGCAGTTGGGAAACTCCAGTTTTGGCTTGACGAAGGGAGGCTGCATAACGGAATAAGCTTTTAGGATTAGAGGCAAATTTGTCCATAAGCTTTGTCCAGTACTGAAGCCTGTCTTCTCTTATAGCCTTCGTGCATATGTTCCTTATATGTTTATATTGCCTGTACGTTCAGTCGTTGTCAGTTCGTTTGTATTCTGCCCAACAGTGTCTTTTGCGGCTTAGCAGGCGAAGGGTACGGTTCTTTATTACTGTAGGTGGCTTGCAGCTTTTGGGAACCGTTTGAGGAACTGAATGGTTTGTAGCACATAAGAGCGTGTGCAGAGAGAAGTCCCAATGACCGTCCACATCGAGTTGAGGATGAACATCCCAAACCACCTGTTGTAGATAGTAGTGTAGAGCTGGCACATTCAGCCGTTTAAAATTCCAACGCAAATTATTGTTGGGATACCTTAGCTTAGTTTTGATGACAAAACTGAAGGCTATGACGGCATGATCGCTCTTTCCCAGAGGAGCCAGGATTGAGAGGTTGTCAACCAGGAATTCTTCGTTAGTGAATACACAGTCTAAGCGCGATGGTGTCTGACTGTTTCTCCAACGAGTTGCCGACCTCACATTTTCGTATAATCCCAAGTCATCGATGAGGTTGAGGAACCGAGTTTCAATTGAGTTATCGCCTGCAGTATACGTGTGTTCTGCGAAGTTGACTCTAGGGAGATTCAAGTCCCCTAGAATCAGGATGTGTGTGAAACTGAGACGAGTAGAGCGGGATTGTCCTTCCAGCATACGACTATCGTACTCGGTGTCGGCAGTTGGCTTCCTGTAAATGACTCCGACTAGACACCTCAAAGTACTAGACAATCTTACAGAGCACCATATGGATTCCTCAAGATTGTTAAACTCGAGGTTGTGAATCTGGTGCACCTCCAAGCAAGAGCTTATGTATATGGCTACTCCGCCCCCAATTCCTGTTTTTCTGTCGTTGCGGAACAAAGTCATCCCAGGTAATGCTAACTCTTGGTCCGAGAACTGAGAAGATATCCAGGTTTCAGATATTCCTATTAGATGGGCCTTATTAGCGTTGCTAATTTCACATAATTCATCCAGTTTGTTTGGTAGACTCGCGGCGTTCATATATTAGCAGTTTATGCTTTCAATTTGGAATGCGTGAGCTCTGTCCTGTTTGTCTGTATGAGCCTTAAGGGAATGGACAGGTAGCCCACATATATGAGGTTTGCCGAGGTGGTAGGCCTTGTCATTTACACGTTTTTTATCATCTAGACAGTCCACAAGTGGAATGGTCAGCTCCAACTTGCCTTTGTGTTTGGTCCTAGCTTCGTATGGCCTATGCGGGTGCATGTGTATTCCAGGTGGCAATCGACGTCTGTTGGCACGAAATGCTTCCAGAATTGCAGCCGCCATGTGGGAGGATGGGAAGGTTATTTTCATTAGACGGGGTCTAGGGTCACCATCATTCTTGGCTAATCTCGTCACATGCTGAGTCAGTATGTGTTAGAGCCTCAATGACTGTTTGATGAATTTCCATTCCCTGATGTCAGAGTAGGGTCTTTATTTTCCGGTATACCTTGCACAATTATATTTCTTTCGCGGAAAAACTCGCGAGATTATTTAGGGGTGTTCTGTATGATATTGCGTTCAGAGTACGGTATGTCGGGCAATATTCGTACGTTCCCATCGGATTTCAGCAAGTGACTGGCTAGCAAGACGTCCTCTACGTCGGTAGCATTCTCAAGTGCCTCGGGTGATTTAGATGCTTAGAATCCTTTCATCGAGTGAGCTGGGTGACCGTCAAAGGCTCTATTCAAGGGAGTTCGAGCTTCTTGTTTAATTCGCCCCAGAGCATCCTATCATTTTTGTCCTACAGACTGAGAGGAAGGTTACGATTGTCGATGAGGTTCATGATAATGAGAGAATCGTCACGAACTGTTGCTAATTTACCAGGTTTCACGATGGGTTCAGGTTTAATACCTTGTTATTTGTAGGTCAAGGCGCGTTTTTGAGTCTTGGGCTCTTTGATGACCGGACAAACAGTCTTGGGGGTAGACTGTGCGACCAAATCACCAGTTGTTTTCCGTACAGCAACACTTAGGATGCTTAGCTTAGGCGGTGCCGCCTGATTCTTTTGGGCTCTATTAACGTGGGTCGAATCACCTACAGGATTTTTGGGAACCACTGTTGTGTTTAGGGACCCTGAGCTGGGAGACCCCTGTTTGCTTGGGGAGTCTAATACCGTCGACGTAATGATGGTGCTGAGCCTCGACACGTCATCGTTAGTGTTGATGGATGCTCCATCGATGGTATACCTATCGACACCCTTGATCTTGTGTTCGTCGCACGCTCTTGTTTGTCTACCGGTTTTTTTAATATCGTTATCCAAGTTTGCTGACAACTTGTTCCGCAGACCTGTCAGTAGGACGATGATGTTACTCAGCAAGACTACAGCGTCCGTACTGCACGTGACACATACCCACTTTTGATCTGACTTGCTGAGTCTATTGTAAGCAGTTGCCGTCAGATCTGTGCGCGCTTCGTGGAACCAACCTTTGCAGTTGTCGCACTGCATACCAGTTGTAACAGCAAAACGGCATCTCGGACGTTTGCATGAGTTTTTCATGACTATGTTGAAGCAAACTACGTTATAGATGCTTGCAAAAGCCTAAGACCGTAAAAATACACTAAAATGCACACTGAAAACGGACAAAAATGGATAAAAACGAGTGAGATAAACTGAATTAGTCTTTACGTGAAAAACAAAGAAAACCGAATAGTAAGCTGAGGCAAAACCACAGTTAACTATTAAATATGGTGAAACTAACAAAAGTAATCTACTAAACGTATAGCTCAGGATAGATTCTTTAGATATGAAACGGTACTTTTGTTGCGTAAGAAAACAGCAAAAGTTTGATAAGTGCAAACCACGTTAGGACTAAACTTCCTGTTCGAAAAACCAAGACGGGGATTCACTTACCACTACATCTTATTCTCTCTTAATGGGTTTGTGAGGTGCCATAGTAGGACAAATGCTAGCAAATTTTAACTTTAGAGACAGTCCTACCTACAGTTATTTTTTTCTCAAAGTTATAAAATCCCTGAACCG